GCCGGGTAGGGGTCGGGCTTCGGGTGGGGAGGGACAGGGACGTGCCAGAGCCGCACAGTGCTCGCCCGCATCTCCCCCGGGGCTTGGACGCTGCCCTCTCTGCGGTCACAAAATGGCGCCGCGGGTCCGTCGCCTCAGGTTCGCCCCGCTCATGCCTTGGCGCCTCAGTTCTTTGTGCTCTGGCCCTCGCGTCCCGACTCCCGGCCGCCCGAGGTCTTGGCCTCTGACGCTTGTGTCTGAGGGCCCCGGCCTGAGCGCGTGCGTTCTCTGAGCCCACCACCTCCGCCCTAGGTCGGGTCTGCTCGGACCTCGGAACCGCAGGTCGCCCTTCCTCAGGCCTTAACCCTTCAGATCGGGCAGCGGGTTGGGCTGCCTTCGCCATTGCCACAGCCTCCCCCGCGCCGTTTCCCTGCAAAATGCCGCAGCTACCCACCCCCAGCCCCTTTGCCTGCCCCAGGCTGGGAGAGGCGCCAGGCCCCGGGGTGATGAGCGGGGGAACCTTGGGCCCAAGGGGCTGGGGGATACGCCTGAGTCTTGAGAGGAAGGACCAGCTTTTCCATTAATTCATTCACCATCTGTCAGAGTCTTCGCGTCAGGTGCTGAACAAGCGCTGGGAAATTGACAGGATATTCTCAGGCAGCTTATGGGCGGACCTTAACAGGGAAACCAATGAATGTAGGATTCGCTCCCCGGTGCTCAGTCCGCCGAGGGGCTTGCTCATTTGCGGGGGTGGGGTGGGGGGTGGTTGGGATCAAGGTAGAGAGGTGACATTTGAGCAGACCTGAATGGAGTGAGGCAGATAAGGGTGTCTGGCCCGGGGTGCCACTGGCATAAAGGCCCATGAGCAGAAACCGCCTGGCTTTTTAGATCAGCTAGTGAGGCCAGTGGGATTTGAGCAAAGCGGGGAGGGTGGATGTTGAGATCGGAGAGGGGACCCTGGGCTATGCTTGGACGGTTGTGAATTATCCCTGGAGGAGTTTGAAAGGCTGCCTGGGTTTGCCTTGGCAGTAACACATGAAGCTTCTCAGCCGGGAGCCATAAACTGGGCCTCCCCCTTTGACGGGGGTATTGGGCTGAGCAAGTATGGTTGCTGGGTAACCTACATTCTACTTGGAATGTTCAGGACTGACAATGGAACTGAAGCCTCTGGGGCTGTTCCATACACTATATTATGTTAGCCTCAGCAAAGAAGTAGTGCCAGGCGTCCCACCTCTGGCCTCCAGGTGAGGAGCTTGGCAAGAAACATGCTTTTCCAGCAACCATCCCTTAGCTCAGTGGTTCTCAATCAGGGGTGGTTCTGCCCTCCTGCCCCCACCGCCAATTCATTTGGCACTGTTTGCAGATATTTCTGGTTGTCACATCTGAGAGTGGAGTTGCTACAGTCATCCAGTGGATAGAGGTCAGGAATGCTGCTAAACATCCTATAATGCACAGGGTGTCTCCCACCACCATAAATTATCCAGCCAGGAATATCAGTAGTGCCAAGGTTGGTCAGCCTTGCCCAGGCCTTTCTGTAGCTTTCCTGGTTCAGGAGAAAAGTCAGTAGTGTTGTTGCTGACATCTCTGGAATTGAGGTGTAATCCTTTCACCAAGTCTTGGTTTTTAGGGGCAGGACTGCTGAGAAAAAAAAAAAAAAAAAAAAAAAAACAAACCAAAATGAATGGTTGGATGCTCTGGAGTAGCTTAATAATGGCACATTTGAATTTATAGACAAGGAGACTGTCTTTGAGAGAGTTGGAGAAGTCTCTAATGGCCAGGTCTAATTTCAACTCCAGATCTTGTAGGCTTTACTTCTTGGCTCACTGAGGGAGCCAAGATAATGAGATAATGATTACTTTTTTCCTTGATCTTGATCAACTAAAAACAACAGTGGTTTTATAATGTGAGTCTTTCCCTTTTGAGAAGCATACCATTGAAGTTAAAAAAAAACTGCTTAAGTCCCATTTCAAGGAATTAATATGCCTTTAAGGAGGAGTTCTGGAGGCCTTGAAGTAGATGCTACCATTATTAACAAGCATAGGAGGTGATTAAAGTAACTTACCTTTTTGATAACTTGTCCAGCTTTTGAACCTAGTTCATGTGTACTTGGAAAAGGGGGCTCCATCTCTGGCACTGAGGAGAAGGATGGGAGCAATGGAAAAATAGGACAGAAAAATCCAAAATCAGGCCTTCAAACACTGCCAAACCTTTTATAAAAACATTGCTTTCACCAAGTTTGTGTTGGGAGTGTGCAAGGGGTTTAGCTGAGTGGTTCTGGCTTGGGATCTCTGAGGTTACATTTTGGATGTCCATCCAAAATGACTTCAGGGACTGTAGTCATCTGAAGGCTTGATGGAGGCTAAAGGATCCACCTCCAAGATGACTCAAACTCACATGGCTGGTGGGTTGATGCTAGCTGTTGGCTCCTCACCATGTGGGCCTCTCCACAGGCCTGTTTGAGGCTCCTTACAGCATGGTAGCTGTTTGCCTTCAGAGTGAACGATCTACAATAGAGCAAGGCAGAAACTATTGAAAGTCCTACTCAGGGGCGCCTGGGTGGCTCAGTGGATTAAGCCTCTGCCTTCCGCTCAGGTCATGGTCTCAGGTCCTGGGATTGAGCCCAGAATCGGGCCCTCTGCTCAGTGGGGAGCCTGCTTCCCCCTCTCTCTCCTCCTGCCTCTCTTTCTACTTGTAATCTCTCTCTCTGTGTCAAATAAATAAATAAATAAAATCTTTAAAAAAAATTTTTTTTTTCTTTTTTCTTTTTTTTTTTAGGCAGAGAGGTAGGCAGAGAGAGAGAGGGGAGGAAGCAGGCTCCCCGCGGAGCAGAGAGCCCGACGTGGGGCTCAATCCCAGGACCCTGGGATCATGACCTGAGCCGAAGGCAGAGGCTTTAACCCACTGAGCCACCCAGGCGCCCCAAAAAAAATTTTTTTTTTAATTAAAAAAAAAAAAGTCCTACTCAGTCATTTCTGCAATCTTACTGGTTACACTGGTTACCTCTATTAGTTTGGGAAGGGACAGCAGCTTTAGGAAGCAAGAATAAGTAGAGGCCATCTTGGAGGCTGGTTACCCCCAGACGGTAGAGGCTGGAGTCAACCTAACCTTGTTCCAGTTGTCCTCTAGTTTATATCACTTTGTCATTTCTTCAAAGAATCCCCTTTCAAAAAAAAGAAGGAAAAGAATAAAATGGAGAAGCTCTGTGTATTTTTGAATGAAGAAGATATCACAGTCTGACCAAGAGGGAGGGAGGGGTTATGATGCATAATTACCATAAATCCATGGTCTGACCATTAGCTTTCTAGGGCCAAACACTTATTTTTTCACCCAGAGCTGTTCAGGGTAAATCAAACCAAGAAGAGAAGGATTTATGAGCCAGATAAGAATTTATTCGTAAATGAAGCATAACAAGAAGGTCCTACTCTGAAGACAGTATTGGGCAATAAAATGTTGACATGGGGAGGACAGAAGTAGAGCAGAGGTTGCCATTGACCTCTGAAGGCTTGGTGGATTGTCTTTCCTTTTTCCCGGGGAAGAACAAGGGCCCCTCTCCCTTGACTAGACATAGATTCTTTGTTCTGCAGCTTTCATACTGTGTTCCAATTAGTAGTCCTGTCAGGGTATGGTGGTTCCAGCCGCACCTGCTGTGTGTATAAACCATGTTACCTGAAATCTGGAGCCATTTCACTGGTGGCTTTATTGCTGAACAAACAGGTTTCGGAAGCTAGTTAAGCAAACATTGTGGAGAAGGTAGGTGTAGGGTACTAATTTTTACACTGTGGGGCTTCCTCACAAGTGAACCATCCAGAACGTGCTTTCACTGTTTCTTGTGGACATTGTTTAGGATGTATGCATCTTGGGAAGGTCCTGGGTCCCTGGAGGGAATCCATTATAATTTACCATTCTTAATTAGTGAACGTAAAAATGGTTACCCTGGGTACTTTAGCCTTTCTCCTTCCCTAGCACCAAGTCTCAATTCCCTCTTCTGGGAACTAAAGATAAAGTGTGGGTCCACTGATCTTTACTTGAAAGCTGGGAGCTGGGTATATTTTGGAATTCTAGCGTGAGAGGAGGACATTCCACAACACCCCCACTGTGGTGTGAGGAGCATCCTGTAATTAAATGCATTATTTCCGTACTAGGTTGGGTAAAGAAAATTGTAATTGTCCTCATAAGTCAGTTTTGTCCCACGGTGAGTGTTGGCACCACATTTGAGGAGAACACTTGGTTTTCAGACCTTTTTGGACTTGGGAACTGCAGGGTAAGGGATCTTGGCCCTGTCCTCTTTTGGCTGTGATGAGGATGAAATAAAATAATGCAGATAAGGCTCTTAGCACCCTGCGGGGGAAACACTTGTTCAATGTTGGCTTCTGTTGTGATCTTCTTTGTTGCTATGGTCCTAAAAGATAAGCTAGAGAGACTGTCAACATGTGAATGCCTACTCCAGGGAAGGCACTTGGTGTATGCTTTTGTTGATAAAAAAAAAAAAAAAAAAAAAAAAGGAGCTATTAAAGGCACTGGCTTTAAATTTTAGATCATGAATTGGCTCTGATGAGAATAGGCAAATATTGCCTCTTGGGTATCCATCATAGTTTCAGTGCTAAGGGTAAATCATTTTAAAATAATGTTCGTAAATGTAGTTTTAAAGATAGTGCCAGGATTCATCATTTAAGAACAATAGTTTCTGATAGAGGTTCAAGTTTTCCTTATTTAGTACTAATTCATCTTAAGTTGAGAAATAGTTTGAGGGAAACCTGGCTCAGTTGGATGAGTGTCTGTCTTCGGCTCAGGTCATGATCCCCAGGTCCAGGGATAGAGCCCCAAGTCAGGCTCCTTGCTCAGCAGGGAGTCTGCTTCTCCCCCTGCTTATACACACACTCATTCTCTCTTTCTCAAAAAATAAAATCTTAAAAAAAAAAAAAAAAGAAAAAGTTGAGAAAGTAGGAAATAATACGCATACTATTTATGACATTGGTTCAGCAAAAACATGCTTACCTCAAGTAATTTAATTGCATATACACATTTTTTTATGGGAAAATTAGAAAATACAAAGCAATTTCCGTTTCAGATCTGGGGGAAGGGAAGGGGTAATATTTGCCTTAACATTGTTCAGAACCAACACCCATCCTTGTTTGAACTGGAAGCGGCTCACCTTTCAGTCACTTGATATAAGTATTTTCCTCGTTTAACTGAATAATTTGGGCACTCATTTATCGAAACCGAATACTGGTTTAAATTGTTAGAACATTTTTCTCCAGTGCTTCTAGTGTAGCAAGTTAATTATAGCCTGTCTTTTCATTGGCTAATATATCCTGGAGGTATAATTAAAGTGTTGAGAAGCTAGAGATTTTGGAGGCTTTCCATTAAGAGGAGGGCCTGTCAGCCAGTCTACACTGAAGGGTAGTCTTAGGTCACCTCCATGTGGCTTGTTTTGGGAAATTAACCACACCATGCTTATATTTAGGCTTTGTCCAGGGATCTGAAACCACTTTGCAGTCGACGTACTCAGACACGAGCGCTCAGCCCACCTGTGATTATGGTAAGTGTGGGCCCCTGGGAACCAAAGGGTGAGAGCTTTGCCTTCTAGTGGCAGAGCAACCTCATGTCTCCTGGGTTGCCTCTCACTCTGCTCTCACTGTCTTGCTTGTCCCAGTGCAATCTCGTGTAAAACGGTGTGGTGGGCTCTTAGAATAGCTAGTGCTTCTGTTGGAAGCAGTAATGGGAAAGATGTGTGCTTACTGAGCAGGCTGGAGTTCTTGGAGCTGTAAATGATTGGTCCCTTTGACCCTGTAACATGTTGTTGAAGTGCATATGGTCTGTGACAAAGGTCTGGCTTCACAAAATCCCCTTGAGGGCCTAGGAAGGAGAATCGCCAATCAAAGTCCAAAGGATTGGTCTGAGCAGAAACCTAGCCATCAGTTTAGCTTCAGGGTAGCATGTGGGATGTGTTTGTAAGAGAAGCTGCCTGTCTGAATCTAGCAGGAATTTTAGAGACAGTCAGACCATCTCAAGCCAGCGGGCTCCTCACACGGGATTGAAGGAAAGTCTCGATCAGTTTCTTAGTCATGATCAGACACACTAAATCTCTAATTCAGAAGTAGCCACTCGGGCACCTGGGTGGCTCAGTTGGTTAAGCGACTGCCTTCGGCTCGGGTCATAATCTTAGAGTCCTGGGATCAAGTCCTGAGTCGGGCTCCCTGCTTGGTGGGGAGTCTGCTTCTCCCTCTCCCTCTGCCCCTCCAGTTAGCAATTGCTAACTGCCAGTAAATGCTGGTCCACCTGTGGTCTGTGACCACAGATGTCTGTGAGAAGAAGCCCTCTTTGGAATTAATAGGGATAATGCTTTGCATGCTGAGATGGGTTGATCGTTGCACTATTAGGGTCCGGGGAGGGACTGAGCCTACACTGTGACACTACCTCAAGAGTCACTGAATAAATGGACATAAACTCCCTCAAGTATTAGCAGCTAGTCCAGAGGGAGGAGGAGACTTAAAGTGTTAAGAAATTGAGTAAGGAGGTATCAGGTATTTCCGAAAAGAGGAGAAACTTGGTATATATGGCTTCCCTGTCTTGCCCTGTCTGCCTCACCCCATTTAATCAAGCAGTAGTCCCAGATTGCACAGCTTATTTGAATTCTTTTCCCTCTGATTTACATAGTCTCAGTACGAGCATTTTGGCAGATACACCATTTGCAAATCTTTTCTTCCGGTCTGTGGCTTGTCTATTCTCTTGTCAGTAGTGTCTTTCAAAGAACACAAGTTTTTCATTTTGATGAAGTCCTGTTTATCATTATTCTCTCTTTTTTTTTTTTTTCAAGATTTTTATTTAGTTATTTGACAGAGATCACAAGTAGGCAGAGAGGCAGGCAGAGAGACGGAGGAAGGGAAGCAGGCTCTCTGCTGAGCAGAGAGCCCGACATGGGGCTCGATCCCAGGACCCTGAGACCATGACCTAAGCCGAAGGCAGAGGCTTAACCCACGGAGCCACCCAGGCGCCCTCATTCTTCTCTTTAGTATATGGTGATTTGGGTGTTGCGCCTAAGAAACTTTTGCCTAGGGGTACCTGGGTGGCTCACTAGGTACTTTGGCTCCAGGCAAGATCCCAAGGTAGTGGGATCGACCCCCCATGTTGGGCTCCCTGCTCAGCAGGGAGCCTGCTTCTCCCTCTCCCTTTGCGGCTCCCCCTGCTTGTGTGCATGCACGTGCGCGCTCTCTCTCTCTCTGTGTGTGTCTGTCTCTCAGATAAGTAAAATCTTAGGAAGGGAGGGAGAAAGGAAGGAAGGAATTTTTGCCTAACTCAGGTGCCCAAGATTGTCTTCTGAGTTTTCTTTTAGGTACTTTCTAGTTTTATGTTTTCCATCTGTTCTGTGATCTATTTTTAGTTAGTATTTCTACAAGGCATACAGTATAGGTCAAGATTCTTCGAACCTCTATGTGTCGGTCTGTTTCTGGACTCTAATTCTGTTCTGGTCATCTGCGTATCTGAATTTCCCCCAGTACCAGTCCGTCTTGATTACAATATAATGAGTCATTAAATCAGTTAATTCAAGTCCTCCAGATTTATTCTTTTTCCAGAATTGACTTGTATATTTCAGTTCTTTTCTTTTTGCCTATAAATTTCAGAATCAGTTTGTCGATTTCTGTAAGAATTCCTGCTGAGATTTTGAGTCTGATGGCCTCAAATCTATAGATTCGTTTGGGAGAATTAACCTGCTAATGATATAAATCTTCCGATCCATGAATAAAGTGTCATTTGATTTAATTAGATCTTTGATTTCTTTCATTAGTGTTTTGTAGTTTTCAAAACACAGATCTTGCACATAGTTTGTTATAGTTGCATCTACGTATTTCCTATTTTTAGTTCCAAGGTAAATATTTTTTAAAGACTTCAGTTTTTAGTTGTTTATTGCTAATTTGTAGAAATTGGGTTGATTTTTATATATAGACCTTGAAATAAACCTTGCCAGGCTCACTTATTTTTGTAACTCATACAGATTTTTTTTACATAGTTAATCGTGAAAGAATAAAGACAGTTTTATATTCTGGCTTAAATTGTAAAAGCAGTATAACGATATTTAAATAACATTTTGGAAGACAGTCAACTGCAATCCTGCCATATTAATACTTCTGTCAGCATTCCTGTTCTAAGTAGTTGAATATAGGAAGATAGGATTTTGTGTATCCTGTTTTATTTGCTTACCGTTAGAAGCGTTTCCTTGTACTGGATAAGGCTGAATGGATTTTTTTTTTGATGCCTCTATGAGGTATGTCACTGAGAAGGTAGGCTGTAACTTCCTTGAAGTTGACCATTTACGTTGTTCTGTATTTTTGTTCTATAAGTTTTGCTTACTACGACCATCTACTTTTCTCTTCTTCTGTTTGTTTTTCTCTTATTAAAAAGATTTTCATCCCAGGGCGCCTGGGTGGCTTAGTTGGTTGTCCGCCTTCAGCTCAGGTCATGATCCCAGGGTAGCGGGATCAAGCCCTGCATCAGGCTCCCTGCTTCTCCCTCTCCTGCTCCCTCTGCTTGTTTCTCTTTCTGTGTCAAATAAATAAATAAAATCTTTTTAAAAAAAAATTATATCCCTAAACTTTCTTGTGTCAACACTAATCTCATCCCCCTCTGGAGGTAGAAGTGAGCTTTTTTTTTTGGAAGGGGCAATTCTTAGGGACTCCCCAGGCTCAAAGTGTAGATAAAGGTTTCCCCTTGAAGGGACCTGGCTGGGAAGCCCCCTTCAGGGAGTCTGAGTTGCTCTGGGCATAGCAACAAGCACATGCAGAGTGCTTTCCAAGTCCTGTCTGTCAAAGGGCTATCACCTACCTAGCCACTTGTCCTTGTGTTTACAGAGTTTAGCATCCATTCCTGCTTCGTTTCCTTGTGCTTCCTTGCTCTATTCTGGCAGATTTTCAGCAGCTAAAGCCCTGGAGAACCATACGCAAGCCTCATAAGCAGAGCCCCAGTGGGTCTGCCTTGGCTTCCCAGTCCTGTCTCCTTTTGAATAGCTAATGTCCACTGTTCCTGGTGCAAACACCCAAGGGACCAGGCTCTTGTCAGTTGCTGGGGCTAAGTATATATTATCCCTTGGTTGCCTCTGGCAGCCTCTCTTCTTGCCTGTGAGAACTACTCCTTTGCCACTCATCTCTTAACGTGATTTCCTGCTGCCGGCTGTCCCTTGCTGCTTTCTAATTAGAAGTGTCTCCTTTAACAGACAGTGCCCTGGGCCTGAGCAGTGCCCAGCACTGCCAGCCTCTGCTGTTGTGTGCTCAGGATGATTGTTGAATAAAGGAATGAATGAGAAGCCTCTGCTTTGATTTCCCCAACCAAGAGGATTTTTGCTTTGTGAGCTCTCTGGAGCCCAAGGTGCATTAAGCGTAACAGTCACCTAGGGTTCTTGGCTGGTTTCTGATACCTCCCCATTCTGTTTATGCACTGGATTGAGGAGGAAACTGACTGTAGGACCTACCTTGGCCTGCCCCGTCCATCTTTTCAAGTTTATACACTCTTGCTGACCTGTGACTGGACTCTGTCATTCATCACACTGCCGTCTCACTGAGCTTTGGTCCCTGTCCTGGGATAAAAGCATGTCTTGTCTGTCCGTAGGGTAGAGATAATAGGGAGTAGCACAAAACTCTGGTGTCTCACTGGAGACACTGGGAAAGTTCTGGTGGACTCCCCTGGGCAGAGTCCAGAGTCCAGAGTCCAAGCCATGTTTGCTTGGCTTGGAATTCCCACTTGACTTTGCACTTCGTCAGTTCTCACTGGCTTTATATTCTGAAGGGGTGAATTTTATATTCTGAAGGGGTGAATTTTTCTCGTGTGCTGGGTAAAATCCAGAGTATATTTAGTTTATAATCCAGATTGTTCTCTCAGCATTTCTCAAGCTAGGAATTATGTTGTCCTTACCTCTGCCAATAGGTTTCTGCATAGCACACACAAGATTCAAGTGCTTGGTTGTCCTCCCTGTTGAGGCATCTACTTTGAGGACCAGGATAGTCAGTTTCTCTGTTCCAGATGGCTTTTTTTGGGTGATTTGAGTGACATGATTTTCACAGTGGATGTGGGCTCTGTGCTGAACTTCTTATATAGCATAGTCTGTGTGAGGCACCAGAAACCGTTCTCCTCTTCCTCTGATTGGTGCTTAGCACGAAGTGGGAGTAATCTAATTCTGGCTCCTCAAGGGAGGAGTATGAGAGCCAAATTCCTCAGCTGGCAGTGTTGGCAAGGGGAGGCCCCTTAAGTAGCAGACGGCCAGAGCCACAGAAGTTCCGGCACCAGAGCATGGGGTGACCTGGTTCATTTATGGAGTGCTCTTAAGCTCAGGGCTTCTCGGGGGAGGTTCAGTCTTCTGTCACCAGGCTGGCACTGAGAATCGTCTTCATTTAAGCTCTTGTTGTATTATAATCAACTGTAGATGTAATTGCACTTTTCCTTTTTGTAGGGTATGGAACTTGGAACTCTGGGACAAACAGAGGCAAGTATTCCCATGAGTGCTCTCCTTTCCCTTGGGATTGAACTGGTTGTGTGTTTCCGCCACTGCCCAGCTTGCCCAGAGTGTATTGGGAGGTGCTTTTGGGGGCCCCTGGTCCAGCTGGTCTTTCACAGGAGGTCCTGGGCTGGGACCCACCCAGCGGAATGGCTAGGCCCACCCAGCCTCAGTTGGCTAGGGTCCCCAGCTTGTCTCTGTGACAGAAGATGTCCTTGTCTCTCTGTCTGTCTCTCTGTCTGCCTGTCCTCTCCCTATCCCTGCCATCTCTGTCCGTCCGTCTATATCCTCCTTGCAGGCTACGAGAACTATGGCTATGGCTACGGCTATGGCCAGGATAACACCACCAACTATGGGTATGGTATGGCCACTTCAAACTCTTGGGAAATGCCTAGCTCTGACACAAATGCAAACCCTAGTGCTGCGGGTAGCGCCAGTGCCGATTCCGTTTTGTCCAGAATTAACCAGCGCCTAGATATGGTGCCACACTTGGAGACAGACATGATGCAAGGAGGCGTGTACGGCTCAGGTGGAGAAAGGTGAGTGGGTGTCCGCCCAGGGGCTGAGCCTCTGCCGGGTGCTTGCTGTCTGCGGGTACCTCCCTCTGTGACCCGCCTTCTGTGTCAGCTTTCTCTCTCCTTGCTTTGTTGCTGGGGCTGCCGGAGACTGCTCAGCATCTGCTGTGCTTCCCTTCTCTGGCCTGGGGCCCCTCCCTGCCCTTTGCTCTTGCCTGATGGCGTCTCCCTACAGCTTGTAAGGGGAGGAACAAGCCTCAGCTGGGCCAACTTCGCTGTATCCTCTGAATGGCTCTTCTCAGGACCAGAGTGTGAAGGGGCCCCTCCCTGTGGAGACAGGCGTTTGGAGATCTCATGAGACTTTGTATCCCACACGGGGTCAGCGCAGGACACATTGGGTTGGGCTTGAAGCAGGGCAATGAGTCTTTGGGGCTGACCACAGCAAGCTGGACGTCCCCACGTAAGAGAGCAGATATGGACACTTCCGGGCCACTCTTCTGAGCCTGACAAAGGTGTGCCTGTTGGGCCTCAAAAGTGCCTTTGTGAGGAACTGTTGTCCTCATTCTTGAAGTGCAAGAGGTCACACTCCTTGCCGGAAGGCACCCAGGACTAGGTGGTGGAACTGGGCCTGCCTCCTAGCTGTGCCCTATCCTGCAGCATCATGCTGCGCGCATTTGTCTGTCATTATCTGAACTGGTGCTGGCTCAGAAGTCCTTGTGCCCTAGTGAGAGGCTTCAGTGAGGAGGGCACACGATGGCGTGGAGGATCCTAATGGCTCCAGCTGACACACAGGAGGAGAGCGGAGAGTAAGGAGGGGTTGGGCCGGGCACTGGTGGGTTCAGGTGAGGCCCCAGGGCCACTGGGGGCAGAGGCTGCCAAAGGGACTTGCACGCATTGGCTCTGTAGCAGGCAAAAAGGGTGAGGGGTCCCCAGACAGACCCCATACCCTCATGCTGGGCAGCCTCTGCGCTTGGTTGGCGCTGAGGCTGCTTGAGGCAGAAGGGGCTTGGCTTTTGGCTAGTGGCTGTGTGGACCCTGTTGCTGCTGGTGCCTGTTGCCTGTGTACCTTCTTGCTATAGCCTAGAACAGGGGAGTAGGGGTGAGGGAGGGGTGACAACTGGGTAGTGCTGGCTACTTCTCCCACAGCTGCTGGCACTTCATGGCTGCCCAGTTTTGCCAGGAGGGGCCTCTGTGCCTGTGTGGGGTTAGGGACGGGGTATGTGGGCTGCACCCACGGTTAGAAGAGTTTTCTGTACGTTGGGGAGGGTATGTACTATGGTGAGTGCTGCGAAATGTGTAAGCCTGATGACTCACAGACCTGTACCCCTGGGGCAAATAATACATTATATGTTAATAAAAATAATTAAAAAAAAAAAAAAAAGAGCTTTCTGTGGCACTCTCTTTCTCCTGGGAGGCTTGGCCTGCCTTTCCAGTTGCTGTGGAGGGTTCGATCCCACAAGGTTGATGTGATAGAGCTCCTTCTCCAGTCCCTGGGCAAAATCACAGTGACTTTCCTGGGAAACACTCTCCACTTGTCTCCCTTCTCCTTTTGGGTGGTGAGAGCCTTTGGAGGATTGGAAGTTTGCTTAGCCAACAGGGATGAGACCAGCACAGGGTTTCTCGTGGGCATCATCGGTCCTGTTGGACAAGCATTTGTGTGCTTAACTACCCACATACCACAGGACACTGGGGTGCTTGGTTCCACCCCCAAGTAGAACCTTGGGCACTGTGACTACCACAGATAAGTCCGTGCTTCCAAAGGGCTAAGGGCTAAGGGCTGCAGGGTGTTTCTGCCCCTGTCTGAGATATACTCCATCCCATTGTCGGTTTGTCTTTGGGTCCCCTAGCTGGTGCAGAGGCAGTCCTGAACATTGAGCCTCTCTGACAGGGTGACATAGGTGCTGGAGTAGGACTTCTGTCCCCAGGACAGGGAGCTCTGGGGAAAGACAGGAACAGTAGGCTCCACCCAAGGGTAATGGGACCTGAGGGCCTCCCTGATGCTTGCCACCTGCTTCTGCAGATATGATTCCTATGAGGCCTGTGACTCGAGGGCCATTCTGAGCGAGCGCGACCTATACCGGTCAGGCTACGACTATGGCGAACTTGACCCCGAGATGGAAATGGCCTACGAGGGCCAATACGATGCCTACCGCGACCAGTTCCGCATGCGTGGCGGCGACACCTTTGGCCCACGGGCTCAGGGCTGGGCCCGGGACTCCAGGAGTGGCCGGCCGATGGCCTCGGGCTATGGGCGCATGTGGGAAGACCCCATGGGGGCCCGGGGCCAGTGCATGCCTGGTGCCTCCCGGCTGCCCTCCCTCTTCTCTCAGAACATCATCCCCGAGTACAGCATGTTCCAGGGCATGCGTGGCGGGGGCGCCTTCCCAGGTGGCTCCCGCTTTGGCTTCGGTTTTGGCAATGGCATGAAGCAGATGAGGCGGACCTGGAAGACCTGGACCACGGCTGACTTCCGGGTGAGTGGAGGACGCCATCCCTCCTGGCCCCTGCCTGGGTGGAGCAAGGAGCGTGGAGCCGCCTACCCTGACCCAGCTCCCACTTTCCAACCCAGACCAAGAAGAAGAAGAGAAAGCAGTGCGGCAGTCCCGATGAACCAGACAGCAAAGCCACCCGGACGGACTGCTCAGACAACAGTGATTCAGACAATGGTGAGCTGGGCACCAGGTTGCCACTCCCTGCCCTCTATCCTGTGGGGCTCCCGGGCTGAGCTTGTCTCTTCATGCTTTTCAGATGAGGGCACTGAGGGGGAGGCCGCAGAGGGCACTGAAGGCGCCGAGGCTGTGGAGAAGGGCTCCAGAGCAGTAAGTGGCTGCGCTCTGTGCACTGTCAGCAGGTGGGGCCTGTGCGGAGCGGGCTGGCTGAGCCTGTGCCACAGAGCAGGGCTCTCCACGGGGCCCGCAGGCCATCCTGGTCACGCACGTGTGAACAGCACAAGGGAGGTGGAGGTCCGGTAGAGAGAGAATAGGCTGCAGGCAGGCCATCCAGCCGGAGGCCGGGCTTCTTTATCAGAAAATGGTCAAATGAGCCCCCTTGTGCAAGGGCTGCTGCGGGGTTGTGAGGCTTTTGGCCTAGTGCCTGACATTTCAGGCCTTGGCATTCAGCGACATTATAAACAACTGTATGTGCTTTAACGTGGGGTTTTTGGAACTGTGTCCTAGGAAGGAGAAGATGAAGACGGAAAAGAAGAAGGCAAAGAAGAAGGCAAAGAGGATGCAGAAAAGGGTGAGTCTTGTGAGTGGCCTGGATGCCAGGGAGACTGTTCCGGGCACTCATAGTTGGAGGGATCCAGCTGAGGGCAGGGTTGTGACGGAAATGTGGCCGGCCTTCGTTTTACCTTCCTGTGGGGGCAGCAAGCAAAAGAGTTGGGGGGAACCACAGGCATCCTTCCTGCCCTCCGTCCTTCAGTAGTGACAGTTCCAAGTCCTCAGTGGCTGGTGTCTGAGCTGGGACCCTCGGTGCAGTTTTTACGGCTCTGGTTTGCCTGTCCTCTCCCTTAGCGCCTCTCCAGCCCCTGTTGGGAGTCCGTGTCCCCCTACCTGAGTGATGAGCGCCAGCAGGTACCTAACAGTAAATCCAGCCTCAGCCCACTGTTGCCGCGGTGCGCCGTGGGGGGGTGGGCTGAGTCCTATGAGCTTTCGGGTCTTTACCTCTGGGGGCTGCACTTAGGCCTCAGCCAAGGCCTCCCTGCATCCCGCTACCTGGCCCCGCTGAACTTGTGCCAGTGTCCCCACCGAGACGGCTTCTGTTTGCCTTCCAGCCTCCCTGTGGCCCTCTGCAGAGTATGGGTGTTCTGGAGAGCAGTGGGGTCAGCCTGTATCCTCCTCTCTTCAGGACCTAGGCCCAAAACAGTTCCCTGCCCAGCCCAGGGTGCCCAGCCCTGCTCGTGGCCGGAGTCCTTGTTCGAACGGCTGCTCTCAGAATGGACTATCTGGAGTAGAAGGCGGGTGATCCAGCCGGAGGCCCCAGGGCCTGCCCTGACCCAGTGGAACCAAGCTGGTGACTGTGCTCCCCTTTCCACAGGGGCCCTGAGCACCCAGGATGATAGTGGGCAGATCAAGCGCAAGTTGCAGGCAGGCAAGAAGAGCCAGGACAAGCAGAAAAAGCGGCAGCGAGACCGCATGGTGGAAAGGTAACCGGCTTCCCTCCAGTCCTTTGCCTCTGCCTCGCTCCGGGGCTGCTGCCTGGAGAGCAGGGCCATAGCTCTGCCGCCTCGCCGCCCTCAGGCCTCCCTCGGGAGCTGCCACCTGCTCGGCCGTGCATGGACCCTGCTTCCCGCCAGGCCCAGCTCCCAAGGCCTGACTCATTCCCTGCCCCACTGCGGCCGCCTGGCGACCGCTGGCGTCTTTGACCTGAGACCCGACACTGCTCGGCACCGTTGCCCAGAAACTCCAGCGCTAGGTCACTCGGCGCACGAGCCCCGAGGTGCACTGGGGGCCCGATGCCCCTGCGGGAGGGGGCCAGCTCATCAGAGACTCGAGGTCCAAGGCGCCTGTGCCACCCCAGCTAGCTGCCAAGAGGCCGCCGCCGCGCCCAGGAGAGATGGCAGCACCTGTGGGCTGTGGCAGCTGCGGGCCTGCCCTCTGCCCTGCCCGCCGGCCCTGTCAGGCCGGGCCTGTTTGCGGCTGAGGCCTTCACGCCCCTTGGTCGGGTCTGTCTGCCCTCAGGGCTCCCGCACTGGCGCTTGCCTCCTCCTCCTCCGCCTCAGACTCTTGCTCTTGCTGGACCTTCCTCAGCCTCGCCGGCGCCCGGCCCCTGGGCTCTCCAGACAAAGCTGACCCCGTGGCCCAGATAAGGACGTCCGGCAGAGGTAGGGACCCGCCCCGAGGCCTCGGTGGCGGCTGGCCTCCTCCGCCCCTTGCCACGGCGGCCTGCTCCAGCCCAGGCCCCAGACCCCGGGCTTCTGCTGTGGACACCAGGCCCAGACAGAGCACCTCGCTCAGGTGACTCCAGGCTGCCCTCTGGCAGGCCAGGCGGGCATCCTCCTTCCAGCTCAGACTGGTCTCTTCTTGGAAGAGGAAGATGAGGCAGCAGGAACCCAGGCCTGCTTGCCTCCCATCCCTCCCGACACCACCCCCAAGCATTCTGAGCAGAGGATGGGCTGGGCCTTTCAGTCCCCCAGACCCAGAAGGAAGATGCAGCACCTTTTCGGGCCCTGCCTCAGGACTGTGTACTCCACTCTGCACCTCAGGGCCACCTGGCTCACGCCAGGGCATCCTTCCTTCCGGTCCCCAGCTGGGCCAAGTGCACACGCTCGTGCCCAGCCTTGGTAGAGAGGCCCACCGGCAGCCTTCCAGCGACTCCTGGCCTGTTGCAGCAGCTGCTGCCTCGGGTTTCAGCCTCCTGTCTGGGAAGGAAGAGCTCCACCCCTGCCCCCCACGTTGCAGTAACTGCAGTCTGCAGACTTTCTGTCCCTTTCTACTCCCGACCCTACTGGTCCCAGCTTGTCCCCCTGCTGGGACCGCCCTTCAGAGGCCCGTGAGCAAGGCCTGTTTCAGGGCTCGCAGCTGGGTTGGGTGAGGCGGCAGCACTGCTCCCTGGGACCCTTGAGGCCTCAGCCCCTTGTTTCTTTCCTGTGGCAGGATCCAGTTTGTGTGCTCTCTCTGCAAATACCGGACCTTCTACGAGGAGGAGATGGCCAGCCACCTCGATAGCAAGTTCCACAAGGAGCACTTTAAATACGTAGGCACCAAGCTCCCCAAGCAGACAGCTGACTTTCTGCAGGTGAGCCTTGGAGCAGCAGCTTCTCAGACCCCTTGGAACACAGAGCAGCCTGCACAAACCTTGGTATCTCCTCGGTATCTTTGACAGGAGTATGTTGCCAATAAAACCAAGAAGACAGAGGAACTCCGGAAAACCGTGGAGGACCTTGATGGTCTGATTCAGCAGATCTACAGAGACCAGGATCTTACCCAAGGTGAGGAGGTTCCATCCCACTCCAACCAGGCAGAGACTCAGTCTGCCCTTCTCTGGTTCTCAGAGTGGGGTCAAGATACCCCTCTGTTCCCCCAGGGAGGGTCAGTGAGAACAGCCTCAGGCCCACGTGGAAATGGCAGGGCGAAGTGAGGAGCTGGTCTGGTGTTTTCCCTAAACTGCTGGGTATGTCTTAGGCACCTGGAACCAGTGGTGACCCTCCTTCTCCTCCCTGCAGAAATTGCCATGGAGCATTTTGTGAAGAAAGTAGAGGCAGCGCACTGTGCAGCCTGTGACCTCTTCATTCCCATGCAGTTTGGGATCATTCAGAAGCACCTCAAGACCATGGATCACAACCGCAACCGCAGGGTGAGTGGCCACCAGTGCCCTACTGCCATCCTGTGCATTGACTTGGGGGGTGGTGCTGGGGTTATAACCTATGCTTGCCCATGAGGCACTGCAGGAGATGTGGCGGGGCAGGAAGATGGAGACATTTCTGGTAGTGCAATCAGTGCAGCTACAGGGAGAAGGGAGGGAAATGGGGACACTGCCAGGTGGCATTAGAGCTGGACCCTTAAGGCTGTGGGATATGGGGACCTCCGTGTGCATAGGGGCCACCAGTCAGAATAGGTTCAGAAACCCAAGAGGAAGTGTACAGTGTGCATCTTGCTAGCGGAGGGGTTCATGAGGGCTGGGCTGAGGGCCGTGGCTCTCTCCTGTAGGCAGTTTTTAAGTCGGGCATTAACAGGATTAGAGTTGCTGCAGCACCTGGTGTGGAGGGAGATCTGGGGGGCACACGAGGAACTGTGGCACTACCAAACTACAGGAGTGCCTCCACTTTGGGAGTGATGAGAAAGGCTGGACAAAAGGGCTATTTAAGGAAGTGACCATCTGGGATGTCTCGGGCTTCTGGCTTGGGTAACTAGATGGACAGAGCTGCTGCTAAGATAAGGGGCTAGGGATATGGTACAGGGAAAGGAGTCAGTCTGGCAAGAAGGTGAACAAATTCAGTCTTTTTGCCAATGTATCCTCAATGCCTAGCACACAAGCCAGAGGAGGTGTTTTTTGATTGAGGGGGTGTCCTGCTGGGCTGAAGGTGGCTGTCAGAGGTCCACTTGGGGTGAGGGGAGGGGGGTGGCAGGGGGTTATGCAGTAGGGAGAGAACTCAGGACCAGGACCAGGTCGGGACCCTCGGAGGCTTGACTGCCACTACCCTGGAGGAGGCGGAGGGGATTTATGTGCAGATGATGGCAGCCAGGGGGAGCATAGGAAATAGCACTGCTCAGCCTTTTTCCACAGCCATCTGATTCATCTCTGGTCTTTCTTGCTGCACTGATTCTCAACAATGGGATGGGGGAGGTGGTGGAGGAGATCATGTGTGGATCTTGCCAACACCAGGTTCTGGAACTAGGATCTGATAAGGCGGTAAGAAGAGAGCAGACCGCAGTGCATGATATTAAAATGTGGAAAATCTAGGTGAAATGAGGGATTGCCAGTAAAACATAAACTCACATTGATCCTAGAAGTTTGGGGGAAAAAACAAAAAAGCCATAGCTGCTAATAGAGGGGTACAGAAGGGTGAGGAAAGACAGAAGATAACTTAGAAATTAGAAAGCACCAGAGGTTGTTGAGTTACAGAGATTTGAGTACAATTTAAATACTGTATTTTTAGAGATTCCAGACTGTAGAAATGAATGAAAAACTTCTAATTATTATTATTTTGGGTCACAGCTTTATTGAGATATAATTCATCTAGCATACAGTTCACCCATTTAAGCTATACAGTGCAGTAGTTTTTAGTATATTACAGTTGTGCAGCCATCAGCACAATTACAGAACATTTTTATCACTTCAGAAAGAAACTCCTGTCCTTTCACTCTCACTCCCTAATGCCCCCACCATGTTTCCCCAGCCTTAGACAACCACTGAACTACTGTGTCTCTGTATATTTGCTTATTCTGGGCATTTCACGTAAATGGAGTCATGTAATATGTGATCTTCTGTGATCAGCTTCTTCCATTCAACGTGTTTTCAGGGTATATCCAGGTAGCATGTGTCTGAACGTCATTCCTTATGGCCTAATCCTATTCTCTTGCATGGATATACCATATTTGGTCTATCAGTTCATTAATTTGGGCATTTGGGCTTTTTTCACCTTTTGGCTATAACGCTATTACAAGTATTTGAACATGTGTGTACAAGTTTTTGTGTGGGCATATGTTTTTCTCTTGGGGTATGTATCTAGGAGTGGAATGTATGAATCCAGTAGTAACTCTCCTTAACTTCTTCAGAACAGCAGGATGTTTTCCAGAGTGGCTGCACCATTTTATATCCCATCATGTTTTATATTCCCATCAGCAATAGTGTGCGGGTTCTGGTTTCTCCATACTTCTCTAGCGCTGATATATGACTTTCTGATTCTAGCCTTCCTAGTGGGTGTGAAGTGCTGTCTACTGTTTATTTATTTACTTATTTATTTATTTAAAGATCCTAGAGAGATAGAGAGAGAATGAGTGGTAGGGAGGAGCAGAGGGAGAGAGAGAGAAGCAGACTTCCTGTAGAGCAGGAAGCCCGATGTGGGGCTTGATCCCAGGACGCTGGGATCATGACCCAAGCTGAAGGCGGATGCTCAGCCAACTGAGCAACCCAGGAACCCCTATTTTTTATTTGGATATCCCTAATGACAGTGATGTTGAGCATCTTTTAATGGGTTTGTTAGCCATTTGTCTGTCCTTGGAGTTGGAGAATGTCTATTCAGATCTTGTGTTTCTTAGTTGTATGGTCTTCTTGAGTTACAGAGTTTTTAATATATTCTAGGGGTGCCTGGATAGCTCAGTTGGTTAAGTATCTGACTCCTGGTCTGGTTTCAGAGCAGGTCATGATCTCAGAGCCATGAGATCAAGCCCCATGTTGGGCTCTGCCCTCAGTTCCAGTTGGCTTGAGATTTTCTCCCTCTCCCCCTTCCCCCCACTCACATTCCTGCTATTTCTAAAACAAATAAATAAATGAGATCTTTAGAAAAAGAGTTCTTTATATATTCTAGATGCAAATCCTTTATCAGACCTACAGTTTACAAACATTTTCTCCCAGTTTGTAGGTTGATTTGTCACCTTCTTGATGTATCTGCAGCACAAAAGTTCCATTTTGATAAAGACCAGTTTATTTTGTTGGCTTGTGCTTGGGGTGTCATGGCCAAGAGTCCATTGTTAAATCCAGGGTCACAAAGATTTATCCTTGTGTTTCTCATAAGCTTTAGCTCTTTTAATTTGGATCTTTTGACGCCATCTTTTTTTTAATCCAGTTTGACTATCTTTTGATTAGTTTGCTTAATCCATTCAGATTTAATGTTATTACTGAGATGATCAGATTTACATCTCTTGTTCTATTCCCCCTTTACTGGTTTTTGGTTTTTTGTTTTAATTTTTTAGTGTAATATTTTGATTTCCTTAATGATTTTTTTGTGTGTGCTACATTTTTGGGGGGACATCTTTTCTGAGTGGTTTCTCTAGGCCTTACCTTATACCTACTAACTTCTCAGAATCTTTTTCATACAGAATATCTTAATTTCAGTGGAACTGAATTACTCATGTATAGCTCTCTCTATATAGGCGGTTGTTGTGTTACTGTTGAACATAGTATTTTATCTACATATGTTATAATCCTAACAACACAAAGCCAATAGTGTAATACAGTATCATGACTACTTTATGTAATTTTATGTCTTTTAAGAAAGCTGACAGACGAAAGGGAAGCAATTATATATTATATATTTATATTATATATATTTCTAGTTTTTTTTTTAAAGATTTTATTTATTTATCTGACAGAGAGAGATCACAAGTAGACAGAGAGGCAGGCAGAGAGAGAGAGAGAGAGAGAGAAGCAGGCCCCCTGCCGAGCAGAGAGCCCGACGTAGGACTCGATCCCAGGACCCTGAGATCACGACCCGAGCCGAAGGCAGCGGCCCAACCCACTGAGCCACCCAGGCGCCCATATATATTTCTAGTTTTTTATATATTTTATATATATTTTTATACATATTCTATATATTTCTAGTTTTTGTTATATTAGCCTTCTTATTTTTTACTTTTGGTTTTCTCCATCTGAGTTTTTCCTGTGGATTTAAGTTATCATCTGTAGTCACTTCCTTATTAGTCCAGTACAGCTTTAGTCCCCCCTCCTTCTTTGTGCCGTTATTGGCAAACATGTTTCTATATGCTAATAGATCAAACAATACAAATGTGTGTGTGTGTGTGTGTGTGTGTGTGTGTTGCTTTATACAACTAGTTTTCAGTCAGTTGAGAAGACAGGCAAAGAATCACACATTTATAATGTCTGTTTTTGTTGGTCTTTCACATGGATTCGCATTACTGTCTGGGGTCACTTGCTTTCAGCATGGAGAACTTCCTTTAGTATTTCTTACAAGGTCTAATGGTAGCAGACTCAGGTATTCTTGATTGTGGAATGTCTATTTCACCTTCTTTTTTTTTTTTTTTTTTTTTTTTTTTAGATTTTGTTTATTTATTTGACAAGACCAAGATCACAGGTAGGCAGAGAGGCAGGCAGAGAGAGAAGGGGAAGCAGGCTCCCTGCTGAGCGGAGAGCCCGATGTGGGGCTCAATCCCAGGACCCTGGGATCATGACCTGAGCCGAAGGCAGAGGCTTCAACCCATTGAGCCACCCAGGCGCCCCATTCACCTTCATTTTTTGAAAGATAGCTTGACTAGGCATAGGAGTCTCATTTGACACTTTTTTCTTGGAACATTTTAAATATGTTCTTTTTGCTGCTTTCTAGCCTTGTTTCTCATGAGAAACCAACCTTTAACCTTATTGGGATTCCCTTAAGTGATGATACATTTTTCTTTTGCTTTCAACACTTTTTCCTTGTCTTCAGCTTTCAGCACTTTTATTATGTCTTTTTGTGGATCTCTTTGTATTTATTCTACTTGGAGTTTGTTGAGCTTCTTGGATGTCTTGTTTTTCACCAGATTTACCAAGTTTGCATGCATTTTTTCTTTTTGTTTCTTTTTTTTTTTTTTTGTAAGATTTTATTTGACAGATACAGCGAGAGAACACAAGCAGGGAGAGTGGAAGAGGGAAAAGCAGGCTTTCCACTGAGCAGGGAGCCCAATGTGGGGCTCGATTCCAGTACCCTGGGATCATGACCTGAGCTGAAGGCAGACACTTAACGACTGAGCCACCCAGGCACCCCTGCATTTTTTCTTCAAAAATTTTTTTCTGCTTCTTCTTCCTCTTCTGCTGGTATTTCCATTATGTATATGTCAGGTCATCTACTGGTGTCCCAAGGTTGTCTGACAATATTTTTCTTTCTTTTTTCTCTCTTTTTCAGATCCTTTCTCTACCAATCT